AAGCAAAAAAGCAGGGGTTGCAATCTTAGACTCTGACAAAGCAGACTTTAAGCCAACAAAGATCAAACAAGAAAAAAAAGGACATTGTATAATGGTAAAGGGAGCAATTCAACAAGAAGAGCTAACTATTCTAAATATTCCCAATACAGGAGCACCCCGATTTATAAACCAAGTTTTTAAGAGACTTACAAAAGGAATTAGACTTCCACAAAATAATAATTGGAGATTTTCACAACCCACTGTCAGTATTAGATCAATGAGAAAGAAAATTTGCAACAATATCCAGGACTTGAACACAGCTCTGGATAAAGTGGACCTAGCAGATGGCTACAGAACCCTCTACTGCCAATCAACAAAATGTACATTCTTCTAAGTGCCACATGGCACTTATTCTAAAATCAGCCACATAATTGGAAGTATAACACTTCATAATTGGAAGCAAATGCAAAAAAAGTGAAATCCTAACAATCTCTCAGACCACATAGAATTCAGGGTTTTAGAAATTCACTCAAAACTACACAATTTCATGGAAATTGAACAACCTGATCCTGAATGACTGCTGGAATCAGAAATCAAGTGGTGTTTTGAAACCAGTGAGAAAAAGGAGACAACATACCAGAATCTCTGGGACAAAGCTAAAGCAATGTTTAAAAAAAAAAACAAACATTTATAGCACCAAATGTCCACATCAGAAAGCTAGAGACAAGAGTAAACTAATCCAAAAGCTAGCAGAAGACAAGAAAGAGTTAATATCAGATAAGAATTGAAGAAAATGAAGACACAAAAACTCCTCCAAAATGTCAACAAACCCAGGAGCTGGTTACTTGAAAAAGTTAACAAAATAGACCACTAGCTAGACTAATAAGAGAGGAAGAATCAAATAGACACAATAAAAAATGATAAAAGGGATATCACCACTGACTTCATAGAAATACAAACTACTGTTAGAGAATACTATAAACACCTCAACACAAATAGAAAATATAGAAGAAATGGATAAATTCCAGGATGTATACACCCTACCAAGACTAAAGCAGGAAGAAGTCAACTCCCTGACTAGACCAATAATAAGCTCTGAAATTGAGGCAGGAATTAATATTTTACCAACCCAAAAAAGCCCAGGACCAGATGGATTCACAGCTGAATTTTACCAGCAATACAAAGAGGAGCTGATACCATTCCTTCTGAAATTATTACAAACAATTGAAAAGGTGGGATTGGCCATGGTAGCTCATGCTTGTAATCCCAGCAGTTTGGGAGGCCAACATGGGTGGATCATAAGGTCAGGAGATTGAGACCATCCTGGCTAACACGATGAAACCCTATCTCTAATTAAAATACAAAATTTAGCTGGGATTGGTGTCAGGTGCCTGTAATATCAGCTACTTGGGAGGCTGAGGCAGGAGAATCACTTGAACCCTGGACGTGGAGGTTGCAGTGAGCTGAGATTGTGCCACTGCACACCAGCCTCGGTGACAGAGCAAGACTCCAAAAATAAATAAAATTTTAAAAGGGAAGGGAGGGAGGGAGGGACCCTGTTTAATAAATCATGCTGGAAAAACTAGCCAAATGTTGAAAGCTGAAACTGGATCCCTTCCTCACACCTTATGCAAAAATTAACTCCAGGTGGATTAAAGACTTAAACATAAGACATAATTCCACAAAAACTCCAGAAAAAAACCTAGGCAATACCATTCAGGACAGAGGCATGGGCGAGGACTTCATTGCTAAAACACCAAAAGCCAAATTTGGCAAATGGGATCTACATAAACTAAAGAGTTTCTGCACAGAAAAAAAAAACAACAACAAACTGTCATTAGTGTGAACTGGCAACCAACAAAATGGGGGGAAAACTTTTGCAATCTACCAATCTGACAAAGGGCAAATATCCAGAATCTACAAATAACTTAAATTTACAAGGAAAAAAACCAACTTTATCAAAAATTGGTGAAGGATATAACAGACACTTCTCAAAATAAGACATTTATGCAGCCTACAAACATGAAAAAAAGCTCATCATCACTAGTCATTAGAGAAATGCAAATCAAAACCATGGGATACCATCTCATGCCAGTTAGAATGGCGATTATTACAAAATCAGGAGATAGTTTCTGGAGAGGATGTGGAGAAATAGGAACATTTCTACACTGTTGGGAGTGTAAATTAGTTCAACCATTGTGGAAAGCAGTGTGGAAATTCCTCAGGGATCTAGAAATAGAAATAGCATTTGACCCAGCAATCCCATTACTAGGTATATACCCAAAGGATTATAAATCATATTATAAAGACACATGCACATGTATGTTTATTGTGACACTGTTCACAATAGCAAAGACATGCAACCAACCCAAATCCCAAATGATAGATTGGATAAAGAAAATTTGGCACATATACACCATGGAATACTATGCAGCCATAAAAAAGGTGAGTTCATGTTCTTTGCAGTGACATGGATGAAGCTGGAAACCATCATTCTCAGCAAACTGACACAAGAACAGAAAACCAAACACCACATGTTCTCAGTCATAAGTGGGTGTTGAACAATGAGAACACATGGACACAGGGAAGGGAACATCACACACTGGGGCTATTTATGACAATCCCACAGTCAATATCATATTGACTGGGCAAAAGCTGGAAGCATTCCCTTTGAAAATTGGCACAAGACAAGGATGACCTCTCTCACCACTTCTATTCAACATAGTATAGAAACTTCTGGCCAGGACAATCAGGCAAGAGCAAGAAATAAAGGGTTTTCCAATAAGAAAAGAGGAAGTCAAGTTGTCTCTGCACATGACATAATTTTATAATTAAAAAACCCTATCATCTCAGCCCAAAAACTCTGGAATTGATAAGCAGCTTCAGCAAAGTCTCAGGATATGAAATCAATGTACAAAAATCACAAGTATTATGTTACACCAACAATAGGCAAGCAGAAAGCCAAATCATGAATGAACTCCCATTCACAGTAACTACAGAGAGAATAAAATAAGTAGGGATATAGCTAATAAGGGATATGAAGGACCTCTTCAAGGAGAACTGCAAACCACTGCTCAAGGAGATAGAGGATACAAACAAATGGAGAAATATTCCATCCTCATGGATAGGAAGAATGAGTATTATGAAAATGGCTATACTGCCCAAAGTAATTTATAGATTAAGTGCTATTCCCACCAAACTACCATTGATACTCTTCACAGAATTAGCAGAAACTATTTTAAATTTCATATGGAATTGGCAGTGTGCAGTGGCTCATGCTTGTAATCCCAGCACTTTGGGAGGCCAAGGTGGGTAGATGACTTGAGGTCAGGAGTTTGAGACCAGCCTGGCCAACATGGTGAAACCCTGTCTTTACTAAAAAAGCAAAAATTAGCTGGGCATGGCACCTGTAATCTTAGCTATTGGGGAGCCTGAGGCCAGAGAATCACTTGAACCTAAGAGGTGGGAGTTGCAGTGAGTTGAGATCACGCCACCACACTCTACCCTGGGCAACAGAGCAAAACCTATTTCAAAAAATGTACCTACATATATTATATGGAATCCAAGAAGATCCTGTATAGACAAGACAATCCTAAGCAAAAAGAGCAAAGCTGGAGACGTCATGCTACCTGACTTCAAACTATACTACAAGGTTACAGTAACCAAAATAATATGGTACTGGTACCAAAACAGACATATAGGCAAAAGCAGAAATTGACAAATGGGATCTGATTTGATGAAAACACTTCTGTGCAGCAAAAGAAACTATCATCAGAGTGAACAGGAAACATACAGAATGGCAGAAAATTTTTACAATCTTATCGACCTAATAAAGATCTAGTATCTAGAATTTACAAGAAACTTAAACATTTTCAAAAAAATTTCTACCCCTCAAAAAATAGGCAAGGGATATGAATAGACACTTATCAAAAGAAGACATTTATCCATCTAACAAGCATGTGAAGAAAAGCTTAACATCACTGATCATCAGAGAAATGTAAATCAAAACGAGAAAACATCTCATGCCAGTTAGAATGGCGATTATTAGACAGGAAATCAACAGATGCTGGCACGAATGCTAGCCTTAGAAGAAAGAAGAATGCTTTTACATTGTTGGTGGGAATGTAAATTAGTTCAACTATTGTGGAAGACAGTATTGCATTTCCTCAAGGATCTAGAACCAGAAATACCATTTGACCAAGCAATCCCATCATCGGGTATATACCCAGAGGAATATAAATCATCATTCTACTATAAAGGTACGTACACACGTATATTTATTGCAGCACTATTTTCAACAGCAAATATATGGAACCAACCCAAATGCCCATCGATGATAGGATAAAGAAAATGTGGTATATATACACCATGGAACCCTATGTAGCCATACAAAGGAATGAGATCATGCACTTTGCAGGGACATGGATCAAGCTTAAAGCCATCCTCAGCAAACTAACACAGGAACAGAAAACCAAACACCACATGTTCTCACTTATAAGTAAGAGTTAACATTGAGAACACATGGAAACAGGGGCAACAACACACACAAGGGCCTTTTGAGATTCAGGGGGTTAAGAGAGGACGGGTCCTCTCATAAACTTAGAGGATGGGTCAATAGGTGCAACAAACCACTATGGCACACATATACCCATGTAACAAAGCTGCACGTTCTACACATCTCATTTTTTTCTTAGAAGAAATAAAAAGGAAAAATTCTGGACTAATTTAAAATGAACAATTCTTTCATCAGTCACGTAGCAAATTATTGCCCCAGGTTGCAGAGAAAGAAATATACATACATAGTCCCAAAACTTAGAGTAGAAACCCATGAGCATAAACATCTTCATGAGCCAGTACATCTGTAGGAAAACTGAAAGTGTAATTGGCAAATTGTTGAAGGCTTAGTGTGAACATGATTGTCAGTAAGAAATAACAGGGGACTCTATCTTATGGTGTCATCACCAGAAGTTTATGAGTTGTTGTTTGTGTTTTTTTTAACTAATTCTTGTTCTGTCGCCCAGGCTAGAGTACAGTGGCATGATCTCAGCTCACTGCAACCTCTGCCTCCTGGGTTCAGGCGATTCTCCTGCCTCAGCCTCCTGAGTGGCTTGGACTACAGGTACATGCCACAACACCCAGCTAATTTTTTGTATTTGTAGAAGAAATGGGGCTTCACTGTGTTAGCCAGGATGGTTTCAATCTCCTGACCTCATGATTGGCCTGCCTCAGCCTCTCAAAATTCTGGGATTACAGGCATGAGCAACCACACCCAGCTGCTTATGAGTTGTGTATCCCCAAAGTATTCCAGGTTCACAGAAAAGTTCATAAAAAATTTCTGGTGGAGGGAAAATGTAGCCATTTTAACCTGTGACCATTTGGTACTTCTTCATATGATCCATCCTAAAAAATGAAACTATGTCACCAAAGCCTAGGTGACCTGAAACAAAGACACTAAACTCCAACCCACACTACCCCTTCTGCCTCAACTAAAAATGAGAACTGAAAAGCCGTCTTTAAAGTTACAGCCTGGGGACAGGCCCACAAAAAATGAAGCCAAATCAGAACTGTACTTTTCCTCCCTTATCCCTTTAACCTGTTATTAAAGAGAATCCCTACTAATGTGCTTCTTTATGCCGGTTAACTTATAACCTAGTGATTCTAAAATGTGCACTGATTTACTTCTTAATCATGAGGCATTTTTTTCATTGTCTTGCATGAAGACACTTTAGCCTGTATGATGCAATCTCTAGCCAGTTAGTGTAAACTCTGTGTTTTACCCTCCAATGGAAAATCAAATACAAAAACTCTGGTATAAAGAGTCCTACCCTCTACACATTCCTGTAAGTCCTTCCAGGTGTAGCAGACTCCAAAACACAACTCTGTTGATGTGTTTTTCCAGGTTAGTCCTCACATTTGACGTCCAATAAATCTTTATTAAATTGTTTTTGTTCAAAAACCTCAAGTTTGCTTAACAAGGATATGTCAATGAAGTGGATAACTTAGGTAAAATAAACCAATTGTAAAAATACACAATGAACTAAAAGTAAATTATGGAGAAACATAATATTTGAACAGACCTATAACTAGAAAGAAGATTGAATGATCAAAAACCTTTCCACTGAGAGAAACTCAGAACTAGATGGCTTTACAGGTGAATTCTGCCAAATATTTAAAGAAAAATTAACGCCAGTCCTCCTCCAAATCTTCTCAAAAACTGTTAAAGGATTTTAAAAAACCCATTTTATAAGATCAGCATTGCTCTGATACCAAAGTCAAAGGTAGCATAAGAAAACTACAGATGAAATGTACTTTATGGCTATTGATGCCAATATTTTTCCAGAAATATTAGCAAATAGTATTGAGCCAGAAATAAAAATATGAAACATGAGCAAGTGGGATTTATTTCTGGAATTCGATGATGATTCCACATTTCAATATCTAACAATGTAGTACACCATGTTAGCAGAATGAGAGAGAGAATAAATCTTCCCAATGGATTCAGAAAAAAACCCTTTTATAATAAAAAAAAAAAACAATACTTAGCAAGTTAGGGAAAGGAAACTACTCTCAACATAAATGTCATAAATGAAAAACTGCAGTGAATATCATATATAATGAAAGATCGAAAGGTTTTCCACTAAGTTGAAGTCAGAAAAGGCTATCTGCTTTCACCACTTCTGTTCAACTTTATATTTCGAGATGTAGTCAGAGCACTTAAGCAAGGAAACAAAAGTCTTCCAAATTGGCACAGAAGCAGTAGAATTATCTCTTTATAGGTGACATGGTATCACACAGAACAAACACTAAAGATTACACACACACACGCACAGAGAGAGAGAGAGAAGGATCTTAGAAGTCATGAGTGAATTCAGTAACGTTGCAGGTAGAAAATCAATTGCAAATATAGTTTACATTTTTATACGTCAGCAATGAATGACCTGAATTTAAATTTGAAAAACATTTAGAACATTTTAAAAAGAGTAAAATACTAAGAATAAATTTAACTTAGGAAACAAAAGACTCTTACACTGAAAACCTCAATACATTGTATTCCAAAAAGTGGAAAGATATCTCATGTTCCAACCCGTAATTCCCCCACAGAAACACTGATTAAGCAACTATGTGACCAAAAATACCTTAATGAAAATCCTGGAACTTACAGGGAAGGTTATAGCTCACTAGTGAAGAAACTACAGTAAAAAGCTAGTTTCACTGAATCACCCCTCTCCCAATTCACTATAGTGCAGTACTGGGAAGAACAAACTTGGCATGTAATTTTTACTGTGTGGAAAAGAGAAATCAAGGAAGGTGTCAAAGTTCCTCAGAGGTTTGGGACACTGTCTTTCAGGCCTGCTTGTTTTTCAATATACCTGTAACACTAAAAGAGTTGGCATGGATGGACCACTTGGGGGCAACTAGAAAGAAAAATGGGCAGGACTTGCAACACAGGTGTTCATGAATCTGGGACCTCTTCACTCCAGTAGCAGCCTAGCAGGATTTGTGTGACAGCGGAGCCTGTTAGCAGACTAACTCTACTGCGGAGCTTTTTAAAAGTCAATTCTGCCCAAGCATGGAGCCTCTGAGTAGCCTTGCTGGAATGGGTAAATTCCCTAACCTATAAAACCTAGTCAGGAGACTGACCTAACATTAGAGTCTGACTCCATCATGAAGCCCAGCCAGTGGCCATTCCTACTGCCAATAAAAAAAAATACATCTGGCAAAATTATCCCTTAAAAGGAAGAGACATAGATATTCCCAGATAAACAAAAACTGAGGGAGTTTATCACCACTTAATCAGCCTCCTGAGATGTGCTAAAGGGAGTTCTTAAAATAGAATTAGATGGAAAAAACAGTATGAAAGCCCACAGAAATATAAATTTCACTGAAAAGTATATACTGAGTCTTCATTTAACATTGGTGAATTACTGTGGCATGAAAACATAAAATACGTGTGTGTGCAGGCAGTAAAAGTGCAGAGCCTTTGTATACAATCAGAGTTAAGTTGTTAAAAACCCCAAATAGACATTTGAAACTATAAGGTGATATATGTAAGCCTCAAGGCAACCATATAACAAAAACTTATATTAGACACACAAAAGAAATGAATCAAAGCATGCCCCTGTAGAATATCAAGTTGTAATGAAAGACAGAGATAGAGAAAGGAACAAAATATCTACAAAACATCCAGAAAAATAATTAACAAATTGAAATAGCAAGTTCTTACCTAGCAGCGATTTCTTTAAATGTGAATAAACTAAATTATCCAAAGGACATTAAGTGGCAAAACAGATTTAGAAGGCATACAAAGAAAACCAAACTATAAGTCGTGTGCAAATGACTTACTTTATCTTTGAGGATACAAATAGAGAGTGAAGAAATAAAAAAAGAGTAAATTCATCAAGAGGATATAACAATTGTAAATATATATGCACCTGACGCCAGAGCTCCTAAATCTATAAGCCAAATATTAACAAATCTAATGGTACTAATAGAGAGCAATATCCAATATTAAGGCACTTTAATATCCTACTTTCTACAATAGGGAGATAATTCAGACCGAAGATCAATAAGGGAACAGACTTGAACTGCATTTTAGATAAAATATCAGACAAATACAGAACATATCATTCAACAGCAACAGGATACACATTCTTCTGAAGTGCACATGAGACCACTGTCAATGACAAATTATATATTGGGTCAGAAAAAGTCAACAAATTTCATAAAATTATAATTACCTCAAGTATATTTTCTGACCAAGGTGATATAAAATTAGAAATTAATTAGGGAAGGAAAACTTAAAAATGTACAAATATGAGAAAATTAAACAAAATAACTTCTGAATAACCAATGATCAAAGAAAAATTAATAGAAAATTAAAAAATACTTTGATAAAACCAAAAATGGGAACGCAACATATGAAAACGTATTCAGCAAAAGTAGTTTTAAGAGAGCATTTGTGCTAATAAACATCTATATAAAGAAAAAAGATATCAAGTAAACACAAAGTATCTGTATGTGTGTGTTGTTTTGAGTGTTCAGGCTATTCACACTTAATAGTATTATTGGTAAGGACATCTGCCATTTTGTTAATTTTTTTTTCTGGTTGTTTTGTAGTCTTCCTCCTTTTTTTCCTTCCTTCTTGTCTTCCTTTTAGTGAAGGTCATTTTCTCTGGTGGTGTGTTTTAATTTATTGATTTTAATTTTTGTGTGTCCATTGTATATTTATAGATCTGAGGTTACCATGAGGCCTGCCAATAATATCATATAACTGATTATTTTAAACTGATGACAGTTTACACTAATTGTATAAACAAAGAAAGTAATTGCAAAAAGACTTTAATATTCCTGGATAATATACAGAGACTGTGCAAAAGAAAAAAATAGGCATGGTAGTATGTGCATGTAGTCCCAACTACTCAGGAGGGTGAGGCAGAATGATCCCTTGAGCCCAGGACATTGAGACTGCAGTAAGCCATGAATGCACGATTTGCACTTTAGCCTTGGCAACACAAAGAAACAGAAAAAAAGAAGCCACAGGTTTGATTACCTTATAGGGAAAATTTGTTTCAGAACACGTTTGAAAACAATATATCCTTCAGCCATCAAGTAGTGCAGTTTAGCCTCTGAGTGCTCCCGAGAGGAAAACATTCTACCAATACCACTGTTATTCTTAGGTGACTCTGAACAGAAAAAAGCTTGAGCCATTTATTTTTCCACTGAAGAGACATTATAGGTTTAGCACTGTGTATTAGTCTATTTTTACACTGCTGATAAAGACAAATTCAAGACTGCATAATTTACAAAAGAAAGAGGTTTAATTGGACTTACAGTTCCACATGGCTGGGAAAGCTTCACAATCATAGCAGAAGGCAAAGAGGAGCATCTTACATGGAGGGCAGCAGGCACAGAGAGCTTGTGCAGCGAAACTCCCATTTTTAAAACCATCCGATCGCATGAGACCCATTCACTATTATGAGAAAAGCATGGGAAATTCACCCCAATAATTTAATCATCTCCCACTGGGTCCCTCCCACAATACATGGGAATTATGGGGAAACAATATGAGATTTAGATGGAGACACAGAGACAAACCATATGATTTTATTCTAAAGAACATCTACTAGCATCAACACCATTCAGGAAAACATGACCTTGCCAAATTAACTAAGGCATCAGGGACATGTCCTGGAGAAAGAGATATGTGACTTTTTAGAGAGAATTCAAAATAGCTGTGTTGAGGAAACAAATTCAAGATTAAACAGAAGTAATTCAGAAGCTGAAAAATGCAATTGGCATACTGAAGAATTCTCAGAGTCTCTTAATAACAAAATGTATAAAGCTGAAGGAAGAATTAGTGAGCTTGAAGACAGGCTATTTTAAAATAGTCGGAGGAGATAAAATGAAAAACATTTAAAAAATGAAGCACTCCTACATGATCTAAAAAACAGCTACAAAAGGGTAATTCTAAGAGTTATTGGCTATAAAGAGAAGGTTAAAAAAAAAAAAAGATATAGAGGTAGCAAATTACTTCCTAAACCTAGAGAAATATTTTAGTATCAAAATACAAGAAGGTTGTAAAACACAAAGCAGATTTAACAAAAAGATGAATGCCGAGAACATAAATAAGTACAACCACTATGAAGAAAAGCTCGGAGTTTCCTCTGAAACAACTAAAAATAGAGCGATCATACTATCCAGCAATTCCACTGCTGGGTATAAACCCAAAAGAAAGAAAATCGATATACTGAAGAGATATCTGCACCCCTATGTTTGTTGCAACACTGTTTACAATAGGTAAGATTTGGAAGAAGCCTAAGTGTCCATCAACAGAAGAATGGGTGAAGAAAACTTGGTACATACACAATGGAGTACAATTCAGCCATATGTAAAACTGGAGATCATAATGCTAAATGAAATAAGCCAGGCACAGATAGACAAAAGTCATATATTCTAACTTTGTGTGATCTAAAACTTTAAACAATTGAACTCATTGAGATAGAGAGTAGAAAGACAGTTATCAGAGCCTAAAAGGGGTAGTGGGGAAATGAAGTGAAGGGTGACTATAGTCAATAATAATTATAAATTTCAAAATAACTAAAAAAGTGTAATTGAATTATTCATAAAACGGTGTAGGCTTCAGGGAATATAAACCTTATTTTTCATGAGGTATTTATTACACATTGCATGCCTGTATCAAAACATCTCAAGTGCCCCATAAATACACCCACTATTTATCCATAAAATGTAAAAAAAAATTTAAACCAAGCAAATGAGAATAATGGCATCTAGAGCAGAAAGGCATACTCTGAGAAGGTTTAATATATTGTCTAAAATGTCTGGTTTGCAACAAAAATAGGAGATATTCAAGGAAACGCAAAGGTAAGACCCCATACACCAGGAAAAAAAGCTCACAAAAGAAATGTTATGGAAGAGCAGTAAGTGTTAAATTTAACAGAAAAATACTTCTAGGTAGACATTATAAATATTTTCACAGAACTAAAGCATGAATAAAGGAATAATGAAAAATAGTTTCCATTATTTTGAAAGTAAATTAAGAAAACCAAACCAAACAAAAGAGAAAAACTCAATGAATAAAAATAATTGGTGAGAATGTAGAGAAAGTTAAACCATGGAGCACTCTTGGTTGGAATGTGAAATGGTGCAGCTGTTTTGGAACACAGTATGTGAACTCTTCAAGAAGGTAAAAATAAAATTACTACATTATCCAGTAATTTCACTCCTAGGTATATACCCAAAAGAACTGAAGGTTTTAAAGAGGTATTGGTGCACTCATGTTTAAAGCATTATCGTTTTACAATAACCAAAAATTGATACATACATATAATAGAAACTAGTCTTAAGAATAAAGGAGATTCCAGCCAGGTGAGGTGGCTCACACCTGTAAATCCAGCACTTTGGGAGGCCGAGGCAGGTGAATCATGAGGCCAGGAGTTTGAGACCAGTCTGGCCAACATGGTGAAACCCTGCCTCTACTTAAAAAAAATTTTTTTTTAAATTACCTGGGCATAATAGTGGGTGCCTGTCTCTACTTAAAAGATTTTTTTTTAATTAGCTGGGCATAATAGTGGGTGCCTGTAATCCCAGCCAGGTCACACCCTAGCCTCTCTTCTTTCCCAGGAAACAGACTCACAGTGTTCCCAGTGCCTCTCTTAAACACAAGTAGTCTCTCCCATATCTTCCAAAGAAAGGAGGACAGGCACCAATTTTATCAGCTTCAATTGACCCAGAACTTCAGGCAGATATTGCATATATCCATTCACACATCCACACATCCTGTCCTCTTGCCATATAATGATTTCTGAAGAGTCATAGATGCACCTCTTTCCATTCCACCTGCACTCAGTGTTTGAGAGCTAACTCCCCGACCCCAACCAAATTCTCTACGCTTGGTTGCAGTAAGGAGAGAATGACAATTTGAAGTTCTTGGCTTGTCATCAGGGCAAACCTCCAAAGTACATATAGTTTCTTCAGACAGGAGGGCACTAGAGTTTGGTAGGTGTTATCTACCATCTCACTTGAGTTGGCTTGAATATTATGCGGCTGAATATTTGCCCCACTTGGACCCATTACGCCTCCTGATATTCAATTCAGCAAAAATAAGACTCCTCATCCTCACACTGCTCGCTTACTGTGTTAGGATTCCTTTTATTTCTGAGAGGCCAACAAATATTTCTCTTTCTCTCTCTCTCTAACTTAGGCTATACCTTCCAGACACTGAAAAACTTATTAACAGAGTTCAGGAAGATGGAAGAGCAAGGAGAGGTCACAAGAGCTGGACCTGAGGGAATGAAAGAATATTATTATTTTTGATTAAACCCCAAGCTTATTGTGTGGAAAATACAGCCAGTTCCTAGAAGAAGTGTTAGAGATGTCTATGCAGGACATCTAAGAGAAAGACATACTTTTAATTGGGTCATACCACCCAGGAGTCCACAGAAGATCAAATCAGAAATGCATTGAAATAGCTGTTGAAAAATGTAAGTGGCTTTCTGTTGAGATCAACTTGGGGTGGTTGGCAAAATGTTATGGGAAATATTAGGGAAAGTGGTAAGTGTAAGGCCAGTTGCCTCACCGGGAGCTCGGACACGCCCATCCATCCTCCTCGCCTGAAAATTACGTCACCAGAATACGCCCATCATCTAGCTCCGCCTTGGAAATCCCCTCTGCACTCAGCACTAAGCTCTGCACCCGGCACCTAGACTGCCTTGGAAATCCCCTCTGCACTCAACACTAAGCTCTGCTAGCCCGCTCACTGGAAATCCAGCCTACCTACCAATAGCAGCTTGCCCCGTCCATGTCCTGTTTCTCCACAGCCTATCAAACGCTTTCACTCCCTATAAAACCCTACACCTGAGAAGAGTCGGGCATGGCTTCTCTGACCTCTTTCCCCGGGACCATAGAACCTCCCCTGGGAGCCGAATAAACTAGCATCTAATTGTTCTCATGAAGGCCTCAGTTTCCTCATTTTAAACTCGGCAATAAACCTCACAAGACAATAACCCTTACAAGTGGTTCCAAAACCCGGGAGGAGTTTTAAGACCCCTCCTGGGGGAAACTGACTCCTCCACCCGAAGCCGGACCAGGGAACCATTCCATCACAAGGTAAGACTTCTGTTACCCACAGCCTCTCCTGCTGCCTGCGTAGTGGACTCCCACCTTGTAACTGCAGCTGCGTCAGGGACTCCTTCTCATTTCCCACCATGGGCCGAGGGCCCCAGCCTCATCTCGAGGACCTGAGCATAGAGGAGACGTCCCTACACTGTTGTCTTCTCCCTGTGAGGGGTTTCCAGGGGCAGGAATTTGAGGGAGATGTCCCCATCTTACTGAATTCTCTCCGGTGTTCGGAAATGCCATTTAGGATGCCTTCCAAACATCTCCGCAGCAGTGGCCAAGGTTTAGGTATTCAGAAGCCCTGTTTGCAGACCCGGGCCCTGCCTAACAGCAGGACTGAATTCCCCGGCTTTACAGTACTAAAACGTTTATCTCAAATCAGCCTTTTGGCATATAAGCTCCCGTTACATATGATTATGTAACTGTACTTTTGGTTTCTCTTCCTAATCCTGAGCGAGTGAGTGAGCAAGTTTATGTGTAGTCCCACTGCCTAATGGCTACAGGGCTTGTGTGGGCCTCAACCCGCAGTACCACGGGGACATCATAAGGCATAACAGTGATTTACCTCAGGACTGAAAGTTCTGGGGTGACCAGGCCTGGGGGTTATACGGGTACACCTTAGCCAAGATGCCCTGAAACATCCCTTTGGGGACATGGCTGGGAAGGCATCAGACTGGTCTCCCATCTGGGAGGCACCCACCCTTTGTCCGTCAATCCTGTATGTGGTTTTGTCTCAGGTAGCCCTAGCCCTGTCTCTCTTTATTTTCTTTCTCATTATAATCATTGCAGCCTCTAAGTTCTCTCACCCCCACCCCCAGGAAAGGAGTACTTCTGCCCGTGTTGGGTATAATACCTTTCCATATTCCTTTCTTACCCCTAACTACCCCCACAAGAAGGTGAACCATGGGCAATTAGATGTCCCAACCAAACCCCAAATTGCCATTAGGATGCCTAGTCCAAAATCTACCCAAACTGGGTATTTCCATTAAAAAGAAAAGGCCGCTTTTCCTCTCTACCATGGCCTGGCCACAGTATCCCCTAGACAACCAGTCTAAGTGGCCTCCAGAGGGCACACTCGACTTTAATGTCCTGACAGACTTAGACAACTTTTGCCAAAAGAATGGCAAATGGTCAGAGGTCCCCTACTTGCAGGCCTTTTGGTACCTTTGCTCCTGACCCTCCCTCTGCTCCTCTTGTTCCTCTGCCCAGGTTCTGTTAGCCAAAACCCTGCCTTTGCTCTCAGCCCTGCCTGGCTCCACACTCTCTGAAGACCTGTCTTGCCCTGCCCGCTTTACCCACACCCCTCCTTATGCAATACTTCAACTCCCTCCTCCCTCTTCTCCTCCTCCTCCCCAAAGCCCTAATATAACTTCCCGTCAGTGCTTGCACCCACTCTCACGACCCCCCACTCCTCTGCCCTTTGCATGAGATAGCCGGAGCAGAAGGCATTGTCTGGGTGCACGTTCCCTTCTTTCTTTCGGATCTGTCAGCCATTGAAAATGCTTAGGGTCATCCTCTACCAATCCTACTGCTTATACCAAAGAATTTCATTGCCTCACCCAGGAGGACAACCTCACCTGGTATGACACCTATGTGATCCTGTCCTCCACTCTTACTCCCAATGAGCATGACCGCATTCTTACAGCGGCCCAAGCTCACGCTGATCAGGTACATCTCACAAAGAATCAAATGCCAGTAGGCACAGTGGCAGTTCCCGAGGCCGACCCTAATTGGACTATCAAACCGGTCAAGATGGCCGCCACTGCCAAGACCAAATGCTACAGTGCCTCCCAGTGGGCATGCAAAGCGCAGCTCAAAAGGCAGTTAATTATGACAAGTTAAATGAAATAACTCAGGGTCCTGATGAAAACCCAGCTGCCTTCCTAGACCGATTAGCTAATGCTATGATCCTACCCGACTAGATCCAGCCTCCATAGCAGGGGCTACAGTCCTAGCCACCCACTTCATCTCCCAGTTGGCAGCTAACATAAGGAGGAAACTTAAAAAAGCTGAGGAGGGCCCCCAAACTCCCATACGGGACCTGGTGGACGTGGCATTTAAAGTTTTCAATGGCTGAGAGGAAAAGTCTGAGGCCACCCACCAAACCCCAGCTCCTGTAGCAGCCCCGAGGCCAGCATCCCACCAAACATCCGACGGAGGGGGTCCGTCGAAACCCTCCCAAAATTCTTCAAAGGCCCCACCTGGGCCCTGTTTCAAATGCAGCCAGGAGGGACACTGGGCACAGCAGTGCCCCATCCTCCTCCACTTCCTGGACCCTGTTCAAGCTGTAAACAGACTGGACACTGGAAGGTTGACTCTGTGTCCCAGGCTGCAGGCTAACTCCCCACACCTCTATGTGGAGGGCAGGCTGGTCCACAGGATCTAGTCCCTTCACTTGAACTTCTCAGCCTTCTGGATGACTGACGCAGCCTGGACTCGAGGACCCCCATCACCCTTGCCGAGCCCAGGGTAATGCTGCAGGTAGCAGGTAAGTACATTTCCTTTTTAATGGATACAGGGGCTACCTATTCTGTACTGCCTTCCTATTCAGGGCCTAGTATACCTTCCCAGGTTTCAGTTGTGGGAATTGACGGGAAGCCTTCCTGTCCTAATCAAACCCATCCTCTAGCCTGTGTCCTCACTAGACACCCCTCCTCCCACTCCTTTTTAATTATACCCTCATGCCCAGTTCCCCTTTTAGGACGAGATATTCTCTAGACTGTAGGGGCCACCTTCCAACTCACTGGCCCCCCACATTCAAGCCCATCCTCCGTCCACCTCCTATTGCTACTCCTAACCAGTACCACGCTCTGTCTTGACCCCTCGCTTCAACCTGCTCTCCTTCCTAATGAAGTTAATCCCTCGGTGTGGGATACCTCCAAGCCTGTGGTGGCCAGACATCACACGCCAGTTAAAACACTTCTAAAAAACCCTACCCACTTTCCTGCACATCCTCAGTTTCCCATCTCAAAAACCCACTGCCAAGGCCTAAAGCCTATCATCACCTGACTTCTGGCCCAGGGACTCCTTATCCCCACCAGTTCCCCTTGTAATACTCCTATCTTATCGGTCCAAAAGCCGAACGGCGACTACCGCCTAGTTCAGGACCTGCGCCTGATCAACGAGGCGGTGGTACCCCTCCACCCGGTGGTCCCCAATGCATACACCCTATTATCTAACAGTCCCTCCACTACCTCTCATTTTATGGTTCTTGACTTAAAGGACGCCTTTACTATTCCCCTTCACCCAGGGTCTTACTTCCTTTTTGCCTTCACCTGGACCAATCCTGACACCAACCTGTCACAGCAGCTTACCTGGACGGTCCTGCCCCAGGGATTCAGAAACAGCCCCCATATTTTCAGACAGGCCTTAGCAGCTGACCTCAGCTCCTGCTCCCTCCAACCCAGTCTCTTTCTTCAGTATGTGGATGACCTGTTACTTTGCAGCCCCTCCCTCTCTCTCTCTCAAGAGCATACTGCCTCTCCTTAACTTCCTTGGATCCAAGGGATACTGTGTATCTCCCTCTAGAGTTGTCAGTCACCTCAGTAGTCTACTTAGGCATTCGCCTCACCCCCAAGACTAAAAGCCTAACAACTGACGGCCGGCAGGCACTTCTTTCATTGCAGCCCCCGGAGACTGCAGACCAGATTCTCCCCTTCTTAGAATTTGTAGGATACTTCCGTCACTGGGTACGTACCTTTGCTGCTCTAGCTAAACCTCTGTATGTGGCAGCTAAGGACACACCAACGGGACCCCTCTCTCATCCTGGAGTTGTAAACCAAGCTTTCAGAACCCTACAAACTGCTCTGTCCACAGCACCTTATTTCCACTTATTTACTAACAAAAAACAAGGTATTGCAGTTGGAGTCCTGACCCAACCCCTAGGCCCTGTGTATCGTCCTGTAGCATACTCATCAAAACAACTTGATCCCACAGTCAGGGTGTGGCAGCCTTGCCTGTGGGCCCTGGGAGCGGCAACAGAACTTACCAAGGAATCCCTAAAACTTACCTTGGGCCAGCCTATCTCGGTGTTCTCTCCTTATCGACTGACTGACCTTCTCAGCCACCCTTGAGACATGTCTCCTCCCAGATGGAACCACCTCACAAAAAGCAGAGCTCATTGCCTTAACCTGAGCTCTCTAACCATAGCACGGGGAAAGCAGGCAAATATCTATACTGATTCAAAGTATTCTTTCCTTATTACCCACTGTCATACTGCCCTCTGGAAAGAGCGGGGATCCCTTATTACGAAAGGGTCCCCCATAATCAATGCTACCCGAATCTCTAATCTCCTACAGGCCCTATCACTGCCCAAAGAAGTCACTGTCATCCACTGCTGAGGGCACCAAGCCCAGCAGGATGCTGTTTCCTGGGGCAATGCAAGGGCAGATGCGGCGGCAAAATCCTTAACTAGTACCAAGCTAGCCCCCATTCCAGTCCTGTTTCTCACCATGGCCACGCCGCCGATTCGCTCACCATCAGAGAAACAGGCCCTTATATTAAAAGAGGGAACCAAGTCTGATCAGGGTTGGATCTTCTTAACAACAGAATCCCCCTTCCCCGGGAACAGGCCCAAAAAAAATCATTGCTGAAATCCACCAATCCTTACATATAAGGCCCAAAGCGTTGCACTGTTTCACGCAGCCCCTCTTTTCCTTGCCAGGTCTGCAACAGACGATTGAGCAAGTACACAAGGCATACATTACCTGCTTTAAGGTTTCCTCTCAGGGAAGCTTAAGGCCACAGTTTCCTACCCACCAAATGCGTTGTCATCTGCCAGCTCAAGACTGGCAGATTGATTTTACCCCCATATACCCACTCACAAAAAACTCCGCTATCTTCTAACCTTTGTAGATACCTTTTCAGGTTGGATTGAAGCCTTTCCCACCTCCAGGGAAACTGCAGACATGGTGGCCTCTTAATTCAGGAAATTATCATTTCAGTTTCTACACCTTTCGGCATCCCACTGAACCATCTTTTGTATTCCATTTGCACCTGGAAATTTGAGTAGAGGTTCATGTTACATCCAGAGCTTGGTTTAGGAGAAAGGATCCTAAAATGCAAGGCTAAAGATAAAGATACCAAGCCCTACCTTCTTTCTAGTTTTCCACATAATCTTGGCCATGCTCTTGTTTATTCATTTTATTTAAACCTTGTAAAAAGGTGGATACTAAATGTCAGACACTAGGACTCAATAGATGATGACTGATGATGGTGACAAAGGTGCCTGTTGATGATATCGGTGGTGATAATGAAGGAAATTAAGATGATGGTGTGAGGAGTAGGAAGATGATGGTAAGAGTGAAAGGTGATGGTAGTAATTATGTTGTAGGTGATGATGGAGGCGATGGTGATGATGGTGAAAGTGGTGATGATTATAATGAAGGTTATGGTGATGGTGATGATGAAGGTGATTATTATAAAGATGATAATGATGGTAATGATGAAAGTGATAGTGAGGATGCTTAGATGATAGTGCTGTGGTGTCAGTGATTGTATGATAGTGAAAGTCACCATTTATTGAACACTCAACACTCCCCAACCTCTCTCTTGGTTAACGCTAGTACGGCAAGGTGTTAACATGTTGAGCTTAACTGAAGCAAAAAACTTCACTAATTGCTTTTTATGTGCCTCCCTTAACAAACCCCCCTTAGCCGTAGTTCCCTCCAGACTGGGTTCAATCTGTCACAATCTTCCACGGGGTCTGACACTACCTTAACGGGTATCCCCTTGTTCAATGTACATTCTTGAAATCTCTCTCTCTGCTATGGGACAGCCAGCAGCCCTAGCCTTAGGTCCAACACCACAGTAGAAGTAAAATCCTCCCTTTACACGCCTCCAGGATTCTTTCGGTGTAATGGAACCCTAGCCAAAGTTATTGATGCCTCCCTCCCCTTCCCCTGTGTGCCCGTCACACTAGTCCTGCAGTTAGAAGTGTACGGACAAGCCAAGTTCCTAACCCTCATCACACCATACCTTAACTGCCAGAGCAAACGAGCAGTCTTCCTCCTGATAGTAGTTGGCCTCTCTTTAGCATCCTCTCTAGTAGCAGCTGGAATAGGGAGCGGCACCATGGGCTACACCGTCACTGCAGCTGCTCAACTGGAAGACAAGCTCCGTGTGGCTATTGAAGCGTCAGCCGCCTCTTCACCCTCCCTCTAGCGACAAATCACATCACTGGCTCAGGTAACTCTCCAGAAGTGACAGGCCCTAGACTTGCTAATGGCAGAAAAAGGAGGTACCTGTCTGTTTCTAGGAGCAGTGCTGTTATTACATCAATGAAACAGGCCTTGTGGAAGAAAATGTCAATACTCTCTATTGCCTCCAAGTGGACTTCCTCAGGAAGCAGAGCGCACCAGCCTCATCTCTCAACTGGTGGCAATCCCCCATGCTTACCTGGCTAACTCCCATTATCACCCTTGTTATCGTTGTGTCTTCTACTAATACTAGTCCCTTTTTTCTCAAGGTTTTACAGGCCCACACGAGAGAAATTTCCAGGGTGGCCATAAACCAGATGATACTTCACCCCTATGTCTGACTCCCAATCAAGGCACCAGCCAACTGACCCCTCCCCCTCACTCCACCCCTATTCAGCAGGAAGTAGCCAGAAAGAAGCGGCATCCTATATATCATCAAAAGGGTCAGAATGTAAGGCCGGGTTGCCTCGCCAGGAGCTCGGACACGCCCATCCCTCTTCCCACCGGAAAATTAAGTCACCAGAATATACCCATCATCTAGCTCTGCCCTGGAAATCCCCTCTGCACTCAACACTAAGCTCTGCACCCAGCACCTAGACCACCTTGGAAATCCCCTCTGCACTCAACACTAAGCTCTGCACTCGGCACCTAGCCTGCTCACCAGAAATCCCGCCTACCTACCAATAGCAGCTTGCGCCATCCACGTCCTGTTTCTTCACAGCCAATCAAACACCTTCACTCCTTATAAAACCCCACGCCTGAGAGGAGTTGGGCATGACTTCTCTGGCCTCTTTCCCTGGGACCACAGAACCTGACCCAGTAGCTGAATAAATTGGCATCTAATTGTTCTCATGCAGGCCTCGGTTTCCTCCTTTTAAACTCGGCAATAAACCTCACAAGACAATAACCCTTACAGTAAGATTATAGTCTCAAACCTTTTGGAAGGCCGAAAGGTTTTTATTAACTTGTGGAACAGACTGAAGGCAGCCAGCTCTTCTTAGAGCATTAGGTCATAGGGTGAAGATCAGGGATAACAAAAGCTTCCCCAGTTAAGCCTGTTTTCCCACATTCTTTTGTCTCTCTTGTTTGCTCATGTAAACTTTGTGCCAGAATAGACAAATGGGATCTAATTAAACTAAAGAGCTTCTGCACAGCAAAAGAAACATTAGCGTGAGCTGGCAGCCAACAGAATGGGAAAAAATTTTTGCCATCTATCCGTCTGACAAAGGGCTAATATCCAGGATTTACAAAGAACTTAAATTTACAAGAAAAAAGACAATCTCATCAAAAAGTGGGCAAAGGATTTAACAGACACTTTTCAAAAAAAGACATTTATATGGCTAACAAACATGACAAAAAGCTCATCATCACTGGTCATTAGAGAAATGCAAATCAAAACCACATTGAGATACCATCTCATGCCAGTTAGAATGGTGATCATTAAAAAAGTAGGAGACAACAGATGCTGGAGGGGATCTGGAGAAATAGGAACACTTTTACACTGTTGGGGGGTGTGTAAATTAGTTCAACCATTGTGGAAGACAGTGTGGTCCTTGAGGACCTAGAACTAGAAATTCCATTTGACCCAGCAATCCCATTACTGGGTATACACCTAAAGGATTATATCTCATTCTATTATAAGGACACATGCACAATCCACAGCTTATGTCAGCCTTTTCAGAGAACAGGCTCTTATTAAAAACTTCTAAATAAGTGACCTGACAGTAAATCAGCTGCTAAGGTTGTTTCCAGTTTGCAAGTTTCCTTTTATCAGGCAATCTGTATTTTTTAATGCAAAAGACCAAATAGCTAGAATGTGAGCAACGACCCAAAACCCTGAGTTCTGACCACTAAGTGGAGTGACCACTCCACTCACATTTTGCATGGCTAGCACTGAAGTTAAAAAGCTACCGTAGACAGCAGCTCAGTGAACACCATGAGGTATCAGTTTCCCTGTCAACCAGGGACAGAAATTTAGGAATACTTAGTGAAGTGGGGGCCCCACAGAGCAGAGCCAGAAGCTTTGCTTTGGATAGTGCAGCAGGGTACAAAATTTCCATCAAAAGAAGATTCCAATTTTCCCTTTAAAGTGATTTCTGTGCCAGTCCAATTTCCCTCTAGAATACATTATTTATATTTAACATGTAGTCTTTTGAGGTCTTCAAAATGACCCACCCCAAAATTGGAATATAAAGTTAGACAGCACCCAGCCCTCCCTGAGTTGGGATTCAGTTTGACTGGAGTTCTGTAGCAAGCTTATAGCTGACTTTCACATAGTGTAACCTGTAGTGTCAGGGTGGCTAGGAGTCAAAAACCCCAAATAATATCTTTAGGTGCTGACTCTGCCAAAGGCTCCAAAATTACCAAGTTTTTCTTAACTGTTGGAAGAATTCAGCAACAAAAATATGCTAAACCTTATTTGGAAATTAAAACTGTTTTTTTTCCCAGGTCTTCTTGTTATTGAGAAAACAGGGCTTATTGCCCAATATGTTAGGAGCCAATACACTGAATTGTCATTGCTTGTTTTTGTATTGAGAAAAGCTTTATACTGAAAGTTCACTCTCAAAGAGACAGGAGTCTCAGGCTCAAATCTGTCTCCCTTTGCTGGCATCAAGGCGGTACTTCTATTAGGAAAGGTACAGGGGGTAGATTATGAGATTAAAAGGTGACTTGTGGATGACAATGAGAGGTCTGGCACATCCCTGGGCATGCCCAGTTATTTCTTTATGCTACCTCATGGGTCATATGTGCAAATTTTAAGGGAGTTAGTAGGAAACATGGTGGAAATTTAAGCTATGCTGTCAGCAAGCTCATTCTGTGCAGTGTCTTACTGGTCCTATTTATTCAAAACAGTTTCAGCTAGTTACTTTATCTCCTAAGTGAAGGGAATTTCAGGGTCTTGGCAAGTTTTTTTTCCTTATCTGCCATCCTGTAAACTCAAGGATTTCTGTTAGTCACTGGCTTCTCTAACTTTTTGAAGCAGTTTCAATTATCAGCTACATCTACTAGCAGAGAGATACTACCATTCTAGAGAGGAGCCCTAATACACCTCTATCTTTGCATCCAACTGCTCATACAGGGTAAACATATTTGGATATCAGAGCACAAAGGCACTCATGATACTGACCTGCCTTCTGTGGAAAATGGGGAAGTGTCTCTCGCCCAGGCTGGAATAGTCCCCTCTGGCACTTACAGGACAGGAAGCCCAAAAACACATAACACAATTCTAACTATAAATTCTGATGTAGAAACACAAGAGGACATTGAGTTAGTCCCAAAGGCCCCACCTCCATTGTTATGTGAAATTTCTGCCCTCATGGTGCACCCTGCCCAATCCGTGTCAACCGAGTTTTGGTATCAGTGAGAACATAGTGACTCTCTGCTTATAAGCAAGGCACCAACACCCATGTTTTCTTTTAGTTTCTAGCAGCCTGTTGACTGCTTTCAGCAAAACCACAAGAACTTAAAATATTTTCTATTTATCTGAAGTGCTCTATCAGCTTGGGGGACTCCTCATTCTTTCCCACTTTGGCTAGAAAGAGTATGAACATATGAGGCACAGTTAGACTGCTCCTTTCAATTCTCCCTCTCACACAACAGCCTCACTAACAGGTTGGAGAGTGGAGGGACCTTACTCTCACTTAATCCTAATTTGGATGAGCGAATCTGCTACTTGTTTCAGGGAGCCTTCTCATATCTCCTGACCAGGTCTGTGAAGAATCTTTCTACTTTCCTCTTATAAAAAGGTTATAGATCTCTCAGAATCAATCCCATCCTCATCACCCAAACTGTCAAAAATGTGAACATTCTTGGATTTTTTTTTCTATTTGCAAGCCAAAAAGTTAGACTGTCAACTTCACAGATATTAGAAGGCATGAGATTCCTGGGCCTGATGAAATATTTTATGATTCATCACACAAATGAAAGCAAGAGCTCCATATCTGCATTTGTTCTCCACGTCCACTCTAAGTGGCAGGGATGATACAAAGAGACCCAACTGGATACTTTCTGCACAGTGGATTTTGATCACAACTGAGAAATCTAAAGGTTAAGAAATCCCAGTGCTTTAAAGTGTGTTTCAAAAAAAGCCTTCCAACCACTGCCTCAGAGAAAGGCATAATCTTTATCAAAATGTCCAGGTACTTACTTGGTCTTTGACCTGAAGAGACACATCCTTCAAGTCTGTTTCTTTCATTTAAAAAAAATCCTGAAAACGACAGCCCAGAAGAAATGCTTATCTAAGTTGGAGGAAAAGGAACTGAGAGATCCATGGACAACTGTCAGCCAGAAGGGTGCAATGGTCCCTTGCATTTATGAGAATATTGATATAGCCATTATAAAAAAACAGTAAGGTGGCTCATCACAATATTAAAATAGAACTACCATATTATCCAGCAACCCCACTTCTGGGTATTATATCCAAAGGAACTAAAATCAGTATCTCAGACTTCTGCACTCCCAGGTTTTTTATGCCCATTAATAATTGAATAGAGAAATTGTGATATATAAAAATATATATATATATGTGTGTGTGTGTATACATGATATATATGTATATACACACACAGTGGAATATTCAGCCATAAAAAATAAAGTCTTATTATTTGTGAAAATATGGATGAAAGTGGAGAATATTAAGTAAAATAAGTCAGACACAGAAAGGCAAATGCTATATGACCTTAATTAGAGATGGAGCTTAAAAACATTGAACTCATAGAAACAGACGACACAGTGGTTTCCAGGGGCTGGAAGGTAGGGGAAATGGGCAGACACTCAAAGGTACAAACTTTCAGTTATAAGATGAACAAGTTCTGGCAATCTCATGTGCAGCATGGGTGGCAACAGATGCTGTCTCAATCCATTCCTGCTGCTTTAACGAAATACCTGACCAGGTAATGTATACATGACATAATTTCATTGCTCACAGTTATATCGGCTGGGAAGTGCAAAATCAAGCCAGCGGCAGACTGTCTCTGGTGAGGACCTTGGTCTCTGCTTTCAAGATGATACCTTGAATGTTATGTTCACAGACAGCAGAAGGGCAGAAATGGCAGAACTCACTCCCTCAAGCCCTTTTATGAAGTCATGAATCTCGATGATGAGGTCACAGCCTTTATGACCTGACTACCTCCTGAAGGCCCCATCTCTTAATACTACTGCCTTGGAGTTTAAGATTCAACATGAATTTAAGAGAAGCTCAAACTTTTCAGCCATGGTAGATATTGATTTTGTAACAATTATCACACAATGTGTATTTGGAGATATCTTGAATATATCCAATATTTGTCTGTCAACATTTTAAAATTAAACATGAATAAAATATGAAAATAATTTATCCATTGAGCAAAAAAGGCCCACAGATGATTTTGGACTAAAACCACCATTGACTCTGGTGCTATGGGGCTGCTGAAAACTGAAAGACGAAGAGAGAAACAGAATTATACACAGTCTTCACAGAAAAGTCAGCTCTGAGGGTGAGATGATACTGATTTGGGCAAAGCAAATAAAAAGAACCATAGTCAGAATCAGAATGAATTATATTTTCTTAGCTTACTGGAAACAAAAATCCTAGCCACAAAAAAACTTGAATTCTGAATGAACTACAAAATGAAATTTTCAATACACATCCTGATTAAAAAAACAAAAATATAAACAAAATCTCTGTGGCCTTAAGATTTTTTTTTTTTTTTTTTTTTTGAGACGGAGTTTTTGCTCTTTTTGCCCAGTGGGGAGTGCAATGGCACAATCTTGGCTCACAGCAACCTCTGCCTCAGATTCAAGCAATTCTCCTGCCTCAGCCTCCTGAGCAGCTGGGACTATAGGCATGCACCACCATGCCCAGCTAATTT